AAAATTAGCATGAATCTGGAGCATTCTTGCTTGAAAGCAGATTGATAAAATGGTAAAAAAAAATCTTGTTTTCTTGATAACTGATTATGAACTATACAGTAAAGTTAATAACACTGGTGAATGCTAAATTTTACAAGTTGATTCATCTTTTATAAACAAATAGATAAAAACGATTTTAGAAGATTAAGTCTCTGTTTCAAATTGTGCAAAAAAAATCTGAAGGGAAAGACGATTTTAGCATCTTTTTATTATTATTTCCGAATTACATTTTACACCCTTTGTAAAATCTCTTTAGTATCCTTTCAAATCTGGCTTGGGTATGTCCCCAAATTTCTCAACCACTCCATTGTCACATGACAGCATGATAAAATAAGTTATGGCAGTGTCAACGAGCCATAAATATACTAAAACACTTGTGTTTAGACGCTGCCCCTCTTACATTAGTAATTTAGATCTGTATTTGTTCCTTTATAATTTATGATTATCGTGACTGTTTCTGTTTACAATAATCCGGACCAAAGTTTTGCACACAAAAGAAAGATGTTTTTTTTTTTAAAATATGATTTATATTTTTGTTTTGCAATATCGGGTATGGTTGCGTTTATAATTTATTGTTTTTGTACTATTGGTACCAGTGTGTTGAAATTACTTTTGAGCGATAATACGATGTTATGATTAATCATTTTGCAATAAATTTAGGTTTTTTTTCTAAAAAAAGTGTATCAATACATTTTTTTTGCATCCCGCTCCCTTTTTTCACAGATAACCTTGCAATGTATTTATCATATCAAATTTCGCAATGTCATCATGACATAATCCACAAGATTTTTACAAATTGTCCAAACTTTTAACGTTATAAGCATATTAGAATTTCTTTTTTCAAAATTCGTTTTCGTCCGTGGTTCTACTCAGGTGGCCGTTTGTGCCTTAGGTCTTCCGCCACCAGTAAAGCTGGAAAGTCCCCATATGACCTATATTAAGTTGGTGCGACGTTAAACCTTGAACCAGAAACATTCAAGTCGGTACTTTCCCTTAAAACACATGATTTCGATCCTTAACTCCGCAATTCTTATATTTTCTTTGTTACGGTGGCAGAAATTTTATTAATTTTAAGAAAATACAAAAATATTTTGATTTTCACTTTTTGTGGTTGGGAAGTCAACAAACTTTAAAATGTTCAATTATGTTCAGTTTAACACAGTGCAAACATTTTTTTTTTGCCGTTCGATTTTATATGAAAACGTTAATTAGTCAGTAGACTTTTAAATAATTCTTTTCTAAGATTTCATGTTGCACCATTACGTTGGATATCTTATGGCGACTTTCCAGCTTTACCGGTGGAAGAAGACTTCGGATGGTCCTCCCTGCATTATTTTAGGCACAAACAAGCAGATGTTTTTAAAATGTACTGGGATAAACGTAATACAAAACGATTTTGAGCTTTAAACTTATTCGAAAAGCTAGTTTGCACGTTAAAATGCTGTCAAATGTCCCAGTATTTGTTATGATCATTTTAGCAAATTGAGCGTGTATTAATTACTCGCGTGTTCAAATCCTCAAATCAAAGACAACATTTTGAAAAAATATTCTTTATTCTTCTTTCTGTAGCAGTTTTAATAGGTGACATTGATACATTAATTGTTCCTTCAACAACCATATTGTTCTGCATATATTATTAAAGTATATCAAAGAAATAACCCAGTATGGTGTTACGGTTGCGAAGGTAAATCTTAAACAAAGTAGACGACCATTTTCTGTTACTTAAACAAAGGTGATTAAAATTCAGTAAACCAAAATTTATTGGAATAAATCGGACAACAAGGTAGCTTAAAAATAATAAAGGAGGTATATATTGCGAGCACGAAATGAGTTTCTATGATCACGATAACGCGCATGCAGTTCACTCGAAATTTTAGAGATATATAAAAAAGTTACTCGATACCTTAATGTTAAACAGAAGATAAATATAAAAAGCACCAAAATGAACTTTAAAAAAATGTGGTCAACTTTTAATAAATATCAAATATACATTCCAATTAAAGAAAATACTAGAATTATAAAGTCTTCAAAATGTTTGCTATGAGAATATTAACATTGATTTGTGTAAGATTCTACAACTAATGACAAAATAAGTAATTCACATTTGTTGTTCGTTTAACATTAGAATTTGAGATCATTGTATCAACAACTATTATTTAAAGCACACCCATTTGTTTGTTTTTATAGATCTGAAGATTATAAGACTCGATACTGATTGGATTATTTTTAAGATTGAACGTTATCTTTTGGGATATAAGCTCAGTGTAATGAATAAATTTGTTTAGGTTACAGGACTTTTTCTTTATGACAAAGTCACAATTATAATTAAACCAGCGCATAATTTTGTCTTTTTGAAGAAAAATCAAAATCAAAATGAAAAACACTTGGATTTCAGTTATTATTTTGGTATTTTTCAGTGCTTTGGAGAATGGAGGTAAATAACTTTACGAATAAATGTAAGATTTATTCGAAATCAATATCTTTTTATTTATAAATGACGACTCAAGAAGCATGAACATATATTCAATTACTGTCCTTGCAAGCAATAAAATTTACTGTTCTCTCATTGCTTTTTCTTCAGTTAAAAATGAATTTGTAAAAAAATATAATTTTCTTAAAACATCTCAGATAGATAATGATATAATTATTTACTAAATTGTAGATGATACAATCAATTACTTTAATAATGATAATATTAATTTTTTGAAACAAATTTTCTGTTGCAATATAATACATCAAAATCAATATGAAAAAGATTTGTCCGACAAATAATATTGTTTTAAAAATATTTAAAAATATTTAATTATAATGAAAAAAAAAAGAAATGGCCTAGAAATGAAGGTGTCCGTGAATCATCTTGAAAGTCAATAAGATTGATTACGTTATTTTGCACGTGCGCTCAATTCTGGAAAAATAATACCGAGTAGCAAGACGACCAAACTTGCATAATGAACTAGATCTTGCCATGATGACATTGAAATACACAAGTTTTTATAATTATGTATAGTTACAAAGATAATATTCTTGATAGTATAATGTTAAAACAGGACTTACTACTACTATTCAGGCTAAATTAAATTCAGATTACATGTAATTTAAATGCACAATATCAAATAAAAGTATTGTTCATGCATTCACTTAATTATTACTTTTTGACATATTTCAACTGGTTTAAATCTTTTATTTAATTAGTTAATCTGACCATCATATTTTAAAGTTAAATGAGAACAGTTTATATTGTGAACACAATGTGAACTTGTTTAGCTAAGTATAAGAAACATTTAAGTTAAGCGCAAAGGAATAGTTAGATCAATAATTAAAGATTTAAACTTATTCAACATTTGCGTTTGATTTCCATTTGCATGTAAAGGAATGTGTCATCCTAACGATAAGATAATTTTTCTATTATAAGATCATTTTAAACACTACTCTTTATCAAACTATTAAAGAACATCACATAATCTGATATAAGTTAACCCTTATTCTATTTTAGAAACATTGTTTTTTAACAAATTGACACATTCAAAAAGCCCGTTCATATATTTTCACTAGAAAAACAGTGAAATATTGCTTAAACTGGACATTATCAAAACACATATAACATCATCTCAAACAGATGCAGCGATTACTGGTTGGACAGAGCCATCAATTACCGGGGCTGCAGATGGACCAGGAACTCTTACTGTTCCAGAAGATCAGGCACTCAATACAATAATTGTGACATATGTAGCCACTACTGATGCTGCCTCCATTACATACTCTCTTGTAACAGCTGTTACTCCATTTGCTTTATCAGAGGCTGGTGAGCTGACAATAACAGCTGCGCTGGACTTTGAATCAGAGACATCTTACACTTTACACGTCAAGTTCGTATGTTTTGCACTAATTTCAGTAATATGTTTGTTTTTTCCAAAGGGTTTAAATGTAAATCGATTTAAAAACATTCCATTTGAGATTAAAAAATATGACAGCATATTTTTAAGCGAAAAAGAGAAGCGATCAGCTGGTTTTGAGTTATCTGTCCTTGAATTTGAAATTCTTTCATTCTTTTCAAGTGCAGATAATTCATAATCAAGATAACCAACGCCTTATTTGTGTACCTTTTTGTAGCTGAATTTCATAACAGTGATTTTTAAATTTCAAGAATCGGTATATAGTATATTTTTTCTATACTTAAACCTTCGCCAATTGTATTCAAAATAAGCAGTTCTAAAGAAACTCCAGCCCCTCGTCTAAATTGATTGAGTTGAGTTGTGAAATTTCATGAAATTTGATATTATGAATACATATACTGAAATCAACCAACAATCATTCATTAAAATTTTGATAATCATAGCAGCATAGCTGTTTTTTAACATTTTTCTGACATTTTTTTTGTCTAGAGCTGAAGATAATAATGCAGGTGTTGGAACTGCAACTATCGTAGTAACTGTTACAGACGTGGTTGACACTCCTCCAGTATTCTCAGCCACATATACCCCATGCATACTTGACGGTTCACAAGAGGGTATTACATTGTACTTCGAATGTTGCATAATTGAAAAAATTAAATTCAGTAAACACATATTTGATTTAAGAATTTATTTTTATTTATTATTTTCATCAATTGAAACAGAATCTATTATTCATTTAAACTACATGAAAAGTTTTTTTCCATTCAGTTTGTCTAAAATATGTTTGTAAGCAATATATTTTTTCACCTCTCTTTTGTTTGCTTCTTGATTGTTCTTAAACAATAAATTTACCAATATATATCTTTGTGACAAATGCTGGTGCTCAGACATGATAATGCTAAGGTTATTCTCTATTTTAAATTAGATGCAACACTAACAACAGTTCAAGCCACGCCCGCAGATGGTGCCACCATAGCTTTATATTCAATTACTGGTAAGTAACGCATATAATTTCTTATAAGTGCTCTCGGCCATGTGTAGGATTTGTACATGCCAGCTTTTTGCATATTAAAATGACTCGCCATAACTTCATCTGGTGATGTTTCTTTATTAGTTTAGATATTTTTCAATAGTTTAGGCGGTACATTATGTAATGTCAACAAACAGTGTATGCTTATATATAGTCGTCAACTGTTTTAGTGACTTCTAAAAGTGTTATTTTATTGTCATTAATATATAATACGATACCGAATGACATCTCTTTCCGATACTTCAAGCAAGGATACCTTCGTTTTAAGCTTGTTCAATATTTCATGTCCACTGATTAACTTTTTAAAATTATGTTTTATAGCAAAACGAGGGATGGAGCTCTCACATTCTCTCGATATGTAATGAAAAGTTTCACGTGATCTCTTTTAGATCGAAATCAAGTTCTATTTATATGGAAATATACATTTAATTGGCGATATTAAGAACGTTTACATTTTCTTGAATGTCTATTGAAAATGTTTCTTCTATAAGTATGGTCACTTTACAAACATCAAGTTTTGTTGACCCTCACAAAGTTTTAGGTTTAATATTCAGATTCTATATTTGGTAAGGTCTCATTTACTTACATATGATATAATCAATCAGAACGTTTATTTGAAAGAGAAACCCTATTCTTATTGAAGGTACCGTATATCAGTTTTCTTTTTCGGGAGCATCCAAATTTCGTTATATCCGCGGGCAATAAATATCGCGAAAAATAAATACGTTAAAAGTTATTTCAATTTGATAAAATAAATTCTATAACTTGATTACCTACTTAAGTTTTGCTACCGTCTTAAAGCCTGTCCCAAAACCTTAAAGATAAAAACTTAATTTAAATTCCTTGTCTTTTTCTTTCATGTTTATAGCGTCCCCCTTTACAATTTTCTCACCTCCAAATAGATTATATTAAAGTAAAAAACGTAAATTATCCCGTATAAGATTTATTTCTAAGAAAGTTTTTATATTTATAAAAAAGTAGTCGCTCAATACAGATATCAAGATTATTATTTGTGAAACAATCCTGAAATGAAATCAATCAAGAGCTAAAGAATACCAGTAGACAAATTGGCATTGATATCTTTACATGGCATACGAAATGTAATATCATAATATAATTATCTTTCTATTTCTTTATGTTAAGATGGTAACATTGGGCCTGCTTTTAAAATTGATGCTACGTCAGGACTAATACAAGTTGCAACAGGATTCACCTTAGACAAAAGTACGCTGGCAACATATGAACTTGCAGTTGAAGCTACAGATGATGCAACTCCAACTAACACTGGGACGACAACAGTAACTGCTACAGTTAAAGACGTCTGCGACAACGGTTCCTCTTCTGTTACATTCAGTGCTTTCTTGCTTCTTCTTTCCTTCCTGGTAGCCAAGGTGTAAAGGAAACAAAGAACATTTGAAAAAAAAGGAACAACGATAATGATTTTTCTTCTTCTCTTTCTATCATTTACGTATTTGTCATAATATTTGTTTATTGTATTGTTTTTTTTTTCTCTTATAGAAATAATTGCGAGTTAAAGACATGTTAACAAAGAAAGGACATATCATACAGTTTCCAACATGAGCTTTAATTATATAAGAGCAAGTCACATCAGTCTATTCAAATAAATTTCTGTACAAATCAAACTTCAATTACACTTTCATATCTTACAAATAATCATAACATTTTAACCGATTTTTCATTCGATATTGAACAAGATACTTCTTTGTATAGAAACTATTAACATTGGTAAACAGTTTAGTCTCGCTATTAAGACCATTTTGGGGCCCCTGTAGAAGTGGTCTTATTATCGATTCGGTCTTATTTTAGAGACCTATGATATGTAAATCTGTAATTGGTGGTTATCAGTAACCATTGAAATCGCTGCAGAAATATAACAGTTTGAACAACACAAACCTTATAAATCTATAATGTGAATTGGATTTTTAGATTAAGTTTTATGAGAATGTGAGAAACGGAGAAATGAGTTTGCTATGAGATATAATTGTATCGATGTGAATTCTTTCTCTTATGACCATTTTCTTGTCTTAAATTGTTAGGATTTACACTGACGTTCATGAACAGGCTAAATCAAACCGAGCCTGCAACATTTTCAATTTTTGTCGTTTTGGACGTTTTTAGGGGTTCCATTTTTCTCTTTTGAAACATTTCTGAAACATGTATTATATTTTTCTATGAAAATAAAAGAACTTAATATTCTGCACTAAGTCTTGCTGATTTTATTGTTTTTTTTTTCAGTTTTAATACCAGGATTTGTAAACAAAGACAATAATATGTATGTCTCTCTCGTCCCTCACCCATACACTCACCCCAAGTCAAAAACCCGAAAACAGGACAGTTTATATATTAGATGATTTGCAGTTGATTAGTATACAACTTGGAATTTGAGCTAAAATTGACAATGACAATGCTGCATAATGAAAAACCCTCAATTAACGACATAATATGTATTTTGCTATTGCGTGGTCGTGTATTCAACTTGATTAAAGAACAGTGTACCTTCATCACTACTTCATTGCTATCGGGTTTTCTAACAAAAACAATAGTTATCTGAAAAAGAAGTGTGTTTAAACCTACACATTGTGCATGCATTATGCGAGATGTTTCCTTTATGTAAAAAACTCAACTTTATTTCGACAATATATTTAATAAAAATCTATGCACTTTCAAACGTTTGAACCAAGTGATGTTCTAACACACGTCATACTTTAGTCTGATCTAATGAATTAAATTCCATTTTGATTTACAAGTTTGAAAACCCGTATAAAAATCCATTTTGTACTTTATTTTATCTAGCTTCGTTTTCATTTCCAAAGGCCAAAACATCCATATCACATCTATTTTTACTCCATGAAGTGTTCATTTTCCGAGTCATATTTTATTAAAATAAAATTCATTTTGAACTTGACAATGTTGGTTCCATTTCGCTCCCACACAGGTGCAAAATTTTTGGTGTACCAGTCTTATAGAATTCGGTGTTGTATAATATTAATATAATGTTTTTTGTACATGATGTACTATGTAATATACATGAACGTCCAGTATTTATAGTTACAATCTTCAGAAACTTCTTAAGAAAAGAAAAATAAACATGCAAAGCTCACTGAAGACTTTCCAATGTCATTTATGGTTACATAACATATCAATTATGAATATTTAAAAACGGCTTTTCTTTTTTTATAAACGCTACAAATCATAACAATTCGAGGTCTGAACTCGGAAAAAAATTTTAGTTACACTTTTGCACGAAACAAATAATTTAATTGGTCCATTAGATACGTTTTGATAATAGCTGCTATCTTTTTTTTTCTCTCTTAGTTCTTATTCATATATTGTCAACAAACTAAATTATGTTATTGTCACTTATGCGTGATAAAAATCAGATTTAATCTGATCAAGAAGAAGTCATCTTAACAGTGAATGCTTACCTTTATTACACTTACCCTGCTTGCAACGAAAGTGATTAGCCTTTGCTATCAGTCATTAACCATCAATCAAACCGAGCCTGAAACTTTGTCAATTTTCGTTGTTTAGGGCGTTCTTAATAGATTCCGTTTCTCTCTATTTTATTTTGCAGTCTGACCAGACTCTATGCTGATGGAAGCCTAATTATAATATTTTGATACTAAAATCTTTTAAACTTTAAATTGGCTAGTACACACATTCAGCTAGGTAATGGGTTGTTACCCAAATTGCTTATTGAACCAGTTTAGAAATACGATAGGTCTACCCTCAATATAACAGTTTTGTAACTAGGATACATCCAACTAAATTTAAACCTTGATATAAATATGTAGTATGTCATGCTCGGTCAGGTGTAAATTTCAGAGTGAAGGATTTTACTAAATATTACAGGTATGGTGTTTAAAAAACTTTAATTTTATTTTACTTCGTACATTTCAAAGGCTCATGAAGTTCTAAAGAATGTACATTTTGTTATGTTAATCCGTCTAATTATTTTCAATGACAATTTAATGCTCTTCCTTAGATCATTATATCATTTAAGTATTATCTCCCCTATTTATACTATTTTTACAAAAAGTCGCTGATGTGATTCTGAACATTCAAATTTATTTGAATCAAATCAACAAAACATATATTTTTTACACATTTGTTTTTATCTTTTTCCCCACATGTTTATACCATATATATGCTACTTATGTTTAAACACAGTTATTCACTGTTAAGAAAGTATGGTCACTTTCGATTTTAACCAACGGAATAGACTGTGTCAAATCTGTATGCATTTTATATTCGTTATTTAATACTTCAAGAACGCTGCACTTAAATTGCCTCATGCAAGAGTTATTCATTAAGTTTGTAGAACACGGCATTTTTCTATACAATTCAAGATTTCAATTGTCAGTTGAATAGTAACAGCTGTTGAGTAAACAAGCACACTTTGGCGCTTACTTATTGTTTGAAAACCTATACACAAAGGCTAAAATGGCAAGGATACACAAAAGCAAAAATAGCAAGTGAAAATACTGAGCTCAGAGCAAAGACAAAAATGGTAAGTGAAAATACTGATTTCAGAGGAGTCATAAAGTTCCTCACTTAGGAGGGCACAAACTTATATCGCCGCATGGCTTATGTGTATGGCGATAAAAGCCCGACGTATTCCACAGTGGCAAAGTGGTCAGCAGAATTTAAACGTGATAAAGACTCCTCAAAAGATTTCAAAAATTAATGCCAGATCGTCCTGCCTATGTCTTCAGCTAAGAGCTAAACGACAATCTTGATAGAATTTCGCTTTTTGATCGCCGAATCAAAGTTGCCAAAATTGTCCTATCATTTGGTATTTCAAATGGAAGTATTTACACTATAATCCATGAAAATTTAGACATGTCAAAAGAATCTGCCAGGTAGGTACCAAGAAATCTGAACATTTAAGATCGTCAGCAAAGGGTAGATTCAAGTCAAGAGCTTCTGAACTTGTACAATGCCAATAAATATACTTTCACACTCGTAACATGATATTTGGCTTCCCCTCTGAGATCTAAAGTGTCAATGCGACGATAGCACCCTAGATCACTCTCATTTATGAAATTTCGTATCAAACCACCAGACAAGGTATTGGCAGCGTTTTTATGGGCTTTTCTCCTAAAAAGGAATTATATTGATATATTACAAGCCTGCTGGTACTTCAATTACAAGACAATAGTATGCCAATCGTATGAAACAATTTTGGATTGTTATTAAAGACACACGAAGGGTGGGGGGGGGCTAGCCTTGCATTAGCACTTGTGTCCGTCTATTGCATGAAAATGCCCCTGTGCACAGTCCAGAATTGTGCAAGCCGCTTTTTGTGATTGCAAGTTTGAGCAGTTAAATCATAAGCCATACAGGTCAGGCCTGGCCCAAAATGATAATTAATATATTTAAAATTTGAAGTCTTACTTGATTGGAAAAAGAGTTCGGCACGGTTATGAGCTGTTTCACAGGCTTGGTTTTGGGACAAAACAGACGATTTTTATTTCAAAAGCATGGGCTGCTCAAACGAAAAGTGGTCCAAATGGATTTAAGTAAACGAGGCTTATATTAAAAAAAAGATATTGTTGAAACTATCTTCTCAACTTTAAATTAAAACCCGAGTTCTACTTACCTAATTAACTCCCCTGATATATATATTTGAGTTTCATGCCACAAAACAGAGTAAGCAATCAAATTAAGCATTACGTTATTTATATGATGAAGTTAAAAGAAAACGGACCACTTTTATAATGGCTAATTAACATGTACTTAAACAATCTTTTTTTATATTTACAGTTAAACCTGTAAGAAATGAAGTTATAACAAGCAACAATGAAACCTTCACACGAAGTATGGCAACAACTAATGAGTTTTGCCACAGAACGGATAAATACAATAACTGGGTAAAAGGTGTAACTGGTCTTAAATATTTGCAAAATGGCTTGAGGCCATTTACAGAAAAGGTTATTCAAAATGTGCATACAGATATTTTGCATACATATGGAAAATGTGGAAATTGCATATTAGAAAATATTTCCCCAGCACATGCAAAACATGGATGTATTCAACGACGGAGATGCAATTGCTCAAAGAAAGATACCACACATTGTAGAGTTTGTAGTGCAGTCTATGACAGAATAATTATAGAGCATCGCTTCGTGGATCCTAATTGGGATATTGATTTTCTGAATTTTTACAACGACCCCTGGCAATTTGCAAGATGTTTTATGACAAATATGGCAAAGAAATCAAACACTACAGCAGAGGATGCTGACGAGGGTTGTCTCTTGAGTATAATCATAAATGGTAATTTCTTCCAGAATAAACTGGATATAATTGTTGATGGAGAAAATGACATCTTCACGAAGGTTCGAATACTATTTTTCTTTACTTAATAAACTTTCCTTTAACAAAGTGCATATATAACATTATTTTTTTACTGTAATGCCAGTCAAGGCGACTGTTTAAAACGCCATTGATAAATAGTTTTATATGAAATGGTATTGTACTTTTATAAAGAATAAAAGGAGAAATATAAATTGAAATTGATATTGATCTGGATATATGTGATGTATCAAATTATTTATACATGTACATTTTTCCATGTAGCATGGACGGTTTGTTAATCTTATTGTAGTAATTAAAGTGGCATTATGCCTATCCAATGTAAATTATGCGTGAAAAGGTAAAAACTACATAATTTTACAGTTTGCAATAATAGTGTGGAATTTTATATTTAATATGTAAAAATTATCAATAATCCGTGTGACCCTCAGACATTTCTTTAAATATCACTCGGAAACGTTCAATTTAAAAAGGAGTTGGACAGTCTTTTTATATGTATGTATTCTTTATATATTATCCTTAACACTTGACAATGAAAACAATGACATTATATCTCTTTATAACATTATAATATAATTATAATATAATTTGGGATTTCAAATATCTTAAGATACGTAAAGCAAGGAATGTGATGATGCACAACATTCCTCAGCTTTCAGATGATGAAGTTGAGGGATATTTAAAAGATATGATAGCAGTGTTGAAAGATCCTAAGGCACTTTTGTATGACTCAGAAGCACAAGCTGCTGTCACACATTTAGAAACAGTAAGTTCCTTAAAACTTATTATTCTATAAACAATTCAAGTATTCATTATTCGTTTGGTTTTGTTTGATAGACATTTTTTTTCTAAATTGCATAAATACGGTATTTTTATGACTTTTGAACTTTTATCCTTTACATTTTATTTTTCGCAATATTCTACTTGGTATACCTTTACCGTGCTATATATCTTAGATAGACTTTTCTAAGTTCAGAATTAGAAAAAAACATTCATCATTTCCAGGGTAATTTCAAAAAAGGAACTGACTGAAATGCGAACAGTGCAGGCCATGACTGTGCCGACTGATCTTTGTCAGCAATGAACGTATTTGTGGTTAAGGTTTCAGTCAGAAACACGAGAGCTAATTGTCCTTTAATTTAGAATACAAATAATAATCTACTAATAAAACTTCATTTTTAAAAGTTCTTATTAGATATCTAGATATTTTCATCTAGGGCTTATACATAAAACATATTCTAGCATAGCATAATTGACTGAATTATTTCAAATGTTAACAGAAAAAATGGCCATGAAAAGTGTTTTGACATTTCTTTGACTCATATTTTCAATTATTAATCTATTAGTGGTTTTGATAGTTATTATAAGCTTATTTTATAATATGCATTTTCACTTTTACATGATTTTCACGTGTAAAATAGATTTGGCTTTTAAAAAAATGGTATATATGACTGTAAAAAAAGGCAAAAAAACTTTATGTTTTCTTATTTCAAAAGCTATTAAATACACGACTTATCTTGACAACTGACATGGAAAAGAAAGCAATTGAAAGTACACTGTCAGTGATTGAAGACGTTGGCACACAATGTGAAGAAGTATCAAATTTACATAAAATTCGATTTCAAGAAATAGTAGAAAAAGAAACACTGCGATGTCAAGAAAAATTGCAAGATTTGACCAATGAATCGATAGAAAAAATACGAAAAGAAACAGATAATTCTTTAAAGGGGTTGCAAAGAGAGCGGAAGAATGCAGTAAGTTGTTCCTGTTGTGTTTTTCTTCTTTTTTGTTTGTAAAACAGTATCTTTTTTTTTACTTTTTAAACGAATCTATATAACAGCCACCGGAAAAATCTTTGCACCACCGGGATAGTGGCAAACTTTCACTACCCATTTATACTTGCCCTAAACACTCAAAAAATCATTTCATCCGAATAGATTTAATGTTAATTATTAATAATTGACTTCATTTAAAGCTATTTTTAATTTATTTCTTATCAAAAAATTGTATTTTAAAAAAAAATTCCGGGCGGAATTTCATGCATTTCCGATCGGAATTATGCTGTCCGGGGCGGAATTATTTAAATTCCAATTGGAATTTAATTCCAACATTATTATTTATTCAACGGGAATTTCAATTTTTTTATGAAAATTGTCGAAAATACATAAACACAATGCTTAATATGTATTTGTATGCATTTTCTTGTTTGAAATCACACACGTCTATTTAAGCATCTCTTTTCGGAAAATCCGATCGGATTTTTTTCCAATTAAATTTAACTGGAAAAAAATCCGATTGGAATAAAAACCCAACTGGACATTATTCCAGTTGGAGTTTTTTTCCCAATACTTTTTATCGGAAATAAATCCTATTGGAATTAATTCCAATTTAAAAGGAACGGAAATTAATCCAATTGGAAGGTAATTTATATTAATATTTAATGTAGTTTTTTTATGTACTTCCGGACTAAATAAAGACAAAATATGGGCCGAAACGTGTTAGAGCCCGATTTTTGCACACCGGGCGGCCGATTTGATGTAAATATCTAAACTGCTGACGAATGATGATATATATGATAATTTATATAAGAAACTGCTAACTAGTTTTAAAAAAGAAGCGTTATCAAAAAAACTGCTGACCAAGTTAGGTAAAGAAGGAAAAACATTTGAAAATGTCAATTAGGTGTCAACTAGCGCTATTAGTGTTATTCTAGGCGACGTCGAGAGATGCTTGATAAGACGTATTTTCAAGATGACACTATTACAAATAATAAATATTGATATATAAATAATAATTGATATATTTCTCAATTTCTATTATTAAATTATCTTATTTCAGTATGTTAATGAAATGTCTTCTATGTGATATATATTGAAAAAAATTAGAAAATGTAGTCATAATATGGTGATCTTACATAGAAAAGAATATCATATTCCGGAAAATATATGAAGTGAGTGGGTGAGTGAGTGAGTGAGTTGGTGAGTGAGTGAGTTGGTGAGTGAGTGAGTGAGTGAGTGAGTGCACTCATTTTTTCATTCATTCATTTTTTCATTCATTCATTTTTTCATTCATTCATTTTTTCATTCATTCATTCATTCATTCATTCATTCATTCATTCACTCACTCACTCACTCACTCACTCACTCACTCACTCACTCACTCACTCATTGTTTCATTCATTCATTCATTCATCTATTCATTCATTCATTCATGCATTCATGCATTCATGCATTCATTCATTCATTCATTCATTCATTCATTCATTGGATGAGTACTTTAAATTTCTTAGACCGTACCATAATCATTTAGCTGTAAAATTGGGCGGGGTTTGTCTTATGCAGTTCTTATTTTCAATTACCAATGAATAAAGGAATTCTCATTCGGCTAATATAACGTGATTGGAATAAAAAATGATCAATAACATATATCTGATTGGCCCAAAATGTATGTCTCACACCCCAAAATCTTGTGAAAACATTCTCATCAATCAGCATCTTATCATCACATTATCTAATCAGATTGAGAATCGAATTGCATGCGCTCGTGAAAAAACAAAATCGCACATCTTTTTTGGAAATGTCACAACAAAAAATAAATAAAATGGGATCATTTAGTTCCGTAAAATTTTACAAATACAGTTTTTATTACAGCATCTGCTCTAAAAAGATTGTTTTTCTATATATTATTAATTAAATTAATTTTTAACGCTCTTTACATTCAAGGAAAAACATTTTTTATAAAATCATGCCCACCAACAATAAATTTTGTGAAAAACTGCTGATCAGCTAAGATATTAATTCAATTTTATTTAAAACCCCGTAAAACTTTCTTTATTCTAAAATTTGGGGAAAGGGTTTAACGTTTTTTTAAAACAACGCAAAAAGGTTTACTTTTAAAGTTTATTTTATTTGAAAAATGATTTTTTGCCTTTTAAAATTTAAATTATTTCATTTTATGTTGTCTGAAAAATTAATATTTTTAATTTATTTCAACGACAAAAAAAATGCTAAATTATTAATTTTAAATTTAAAATTTTGGGAAAGCCGAAAAACTCTTTTTTTTCTTTTATGGTCAAAAATTTTAAACCCTTCTTCAGGCGAGAAACCCTGCCATTTAAAAACCCAAAAAAATTTAAAATAAAATAAACAAAAAATAATTTTAAATAAAAAAAAATTTTAAAAAATTTAGGGTTTTTTGATTAATGATTACCAAAAAATTTCTTTTGCCCGTAAAAATTTTTTAAAAGCAAAAAAATTGGGGCTAAATTTTTTGGTTTCCCCAGTATTTTATTTTAAATTCCCCAATGAAAAAGGAATCATCTTTCGGCAAAAAATTTGTTGGTTTTGAAAATAAAATAAATGACATATTTTGTTTGGGGCCCCCCAAAACGTAAAAAAACTTTGTTTTCACTTTGAAAAAATTTCCAACATATTTAACAGGTATGTCGAAAATTTAATTTTTATTACCTTTTTTCGTTGGGTTAAAATTGCGGGTGGGGAACACAAATGCCCTCTTTGGTTTAATACAAAAAAAAATAAATATGGTTTCTTTTGGGCCGTAAATTTTAATACATTTTTTTAAGATTTAGCTCAAAAAAGATTGTTTTTTTTAGTTCTTTAAATTAAATTTTAATTTAACGCTTTTTAAAAATTCGGGAAAAACATATTTTAAAAAATCATCCCGACCAAAAATTTGGGTAAAAACCCTGCTGATCAGCTAGATATTAATTCAATTTTAAAATTTTAAGGCCGTAAACTTCTAATTCTAATTTCGGCAAGTTTTAACGCTCTTTACGATCGAGAAAAGGCCCTGAACCTATTTAACACAATATAAAAAAATGACTATTTTTGCCCGTGAAGATTATTTTATCATTTTATGTTGTCTGCAAAAGTTTAATAATATTGTATTTAGTCATGTTAACGCAAAAATAAAAATCCGACCAATTTAATATATTAAAAATTGAAAAGCCGTAAAACTCTTCTTTTTCTATATGGTCAACAAATTTAATCCTTCATTCATGTCATTCTTCATTCATTCATTCATTCATTCATTCAATTCATCATCATTCATTCCATTACTTCATTCAGTAGTCAGTATCAGTCAGTCATTCAGATCATTCAGTCATCTCATTCATTCATTCATTCATTCATTCATTCATGTAATTCATTCATTTCAATTCATGCTTACTTTAAATTTCTGAGGGCCGTACCATAATCATTTAGTCTGTAAAGTGGGCGGGGTTAAAGCTTATGCAGTTCTTATTTTCAATTAGCCCAATGAATTCCGGCTAATAAATTGATTTGGGAATGCACCATGAATCAATGACATAATATCTGAATTGGCCCCCATGTGTATTGTTCACACCGCCAAAATCTTGTGAAAACATCCATCAATTTTAAGTTTTATTACCTTTAATCAGATTGAGATCTGAATTGCATGGTTGGTGAAAAACCAAAATGACCAAATCTTTGGGATATATCACACGATAAAACATTAAATAAAAGTGGATCAATTTTAGCCGAAATTTTACATACATTTTTACGAAGGAAATTAGCTCTAAAAAGATTGTTTCTTTTGTTTTAATTCATTAATTAATTAAATTTCCCCCTTTTAAATTTAGGAAAAAATATTTTTTTTAAAATTCATGCCGCCTTTTAAAAAATTTTGTGAAAAACGTGATACCTAGATTTTAAATTTCCCAATTTTTTTTTAAGGCCGTAAAACTTCTTTTTCTATATGTTCCGGAAATTTTAACGCTCTTTACTTTGCAACGGAAAGTTTAAAAGAAAAAATGATTTTTTCCCGTGAAATTATTATTCTTTTTAAATGTTGTCTGCAAAGTTAATATATTGTTATTAAGTCATGTCAACGATTAAATTTAGTACAAAAATAAAATGTCTGATTCAAATTTAATATTAATTTAAATTGGGATAAAAGTCGTAAAACTTCTTCTTTTTCTATATGAATCTCAGCAAATTTTAAACCTTATTCAGGCGAGCAAAATGCTGAACCACTTTAAATATATAGTGAAAATTGCTGATTGAGGTTAGATATATAGAGAAAATTGAATTTTGCAATGAAAATTGATATTATTTTAAACTGTCTGCAAAGTTAATATAAAATTGTATTAAGGCCCAATGTCGATCAATTGAATTTAGTAAAATAAAAAAATATATTTTCGAAATTTATGAACAAATAATATATTTTTTTAATAATTATGTTTGAAAAATATCTACACAAGTGTGTGTATCACTTACCTGTAATTGTAAGTATATTTTTTACATTTTTCGTCATGTCGAATTTTTGCTTTTAAAATTGTCAGAAAACATGTCAATCTATTTCATTTTAAAGTTTTAAACCATGTGCCTGAAATAATCCCCTTTGAGAATGTTGTAAGGACAATAATATTTAAACTCGAGTTCAGAATACAGGTACGGAAATTCATTCATTCAAACATTCATTCATTATCATTCATTCATATCATTCCTCATTCATTCATTCAATTCATTCATCCAATTCATTTATTCATTCATTCATTTCATTTCATTCATTCATTCATTCATTCATTCATTCATTCATTGGATGAATTACCGTATCAAATCACTTTGAATGTAAAAATTGGGATGGGTTTTTAGCTTATGCAGTTCTTATTTTCCAATTACCAATGAAATAAAGGGAATTTCTCATGCTGCTTGCTGCTGCTGTGCTGCTGCTGCTAGCTGCTGCTGCTGCCTGGCTGCTGCTGCGCTGCTGA